GTCGCCTTATCCCACATGAGGCGGTTTCTTTTTTCCCCCCCGGTTGGGCCGGGGCCCCCCCCCCCCCCCCCACTTTCTTAAAAAGTCTTTTTGAATGCCGATACGCCGCTCCCATGCAAAATCCCGCCACGGGTGCAGCAGCTGTAGGCGAAGACGAGTCAAGGTACGATTCCATGAAGTCATCAACACCCTTGTGTCCCTCAGCTTTATATTGCCTGAACTTCGTGTACTTATGTTTCCCCCCCCCCCCCCCAGTGTGACGAGGCCAGGCCGGTTTGCAAAAACTGCAGAACGCGAAAAGATGAAAACACTTGCGTCTATAGTACATCAGGCCCATTCGTCTTCGCGGAGGATGCGCCCGGATCACCGCGGAAGGCCCCGCAAAAATCGAAATCATCAAGGAGCGGTAGTGGCAGTGGCTCCGATCGGTCCCCCCAGGCTCTCTGGGGTCCTTTCGCTGGCTCCAATGATTTGGTGGAGGCTCCTGTGATTAATATGCAGCATATGCAACTCGAGCTTCAGTGGATAAAACATACCCACAAACTGTTCGCCCGCAGCGAAGAGACTAGAAAGGTGTGGGAGTTTTTAGTGCTACAAGAAGCCTTCCACGCACCATTCCTGATGCATGGCATTATAGCACTGAGCGCATTGCACTGTTCAAATGAGCATGGTGATCTTCAGCGAGCGGAGTGGCTTTCGGCGGCAGTGGCGCATAAAAGCACCGCCTTGTCCATGTTTTGGGAACATCTCAATGATATTACGGAGTCCAATGCTAAAGCAATGATGAGCTTCGCCGGAATTGCCTTGGCTTTCAGTTTTGCGAGTGCCTTGATCTGCCCTCAACCCGAAGATGGTCCCACTCTACGGTCGTTGATCGACGTTTTTGTTCTTGCTCGAGGTGTTCAGGCTGTCGTGAATGCAGCGAGTGAATTCCTCCACCAGAGTACTTTCGCACCACTTTTCGATATTGCCTCACCCGAAGTGACTATCCCAGTCGAAACCCTACAAGCCTTCGATCGCCTGGAGGAGTTGAACGACCGTTGCTACGAACTGTCCGCTGAGCACAATATACAATCTTACAAGCAAGTTATCGGATCATTGCGAGATCTTGTTTGTTTCACCTACGCAGAGCCCACCTCCCTAACGCTAGCTGCAGGTTGGGCCATTCGGTTATCACATCACTACCTGGAAGAGCTGAATAATCGTACACCATTTGCCCTAGTGGTGCTTGCCCATTACTGTGTGTTTTTACATCGAGCACGACACAATTGGTGCATTGGATCTTGGGGCTACGCGGTATTTGAAGAGATAAATTTGGTACTGGATCCTGGTTGGAAATCACACATCGGTTGGGTAACCAGTGAAATCATCTTGCGATAAATTTTGAAATCAATTAATAGCATTTTTCTTACAACCGCTATGATGGTAGATATGATCAGGTCTGTGCTATGTCAAGGTAGCTGCTACTGAAACAAATTCCTATTCATTCTGTAAATTTGTTATCAAGCTAGATACGATAGAAAACACCCCGATGAGTCAAGTCTCCCTCGATGAATCAATGTGAAGCTCGGCTTAAATCTAATATTTTCTGTTGTATTCTTCAAACAGTCTTTGTTTTCTAATTGGGATAGGTTATCTAACGAGATGCTCTATATCCTTTATTCCTAGCAACTACTCGTAGATAAATTTCTTGTGTTTTAATTGTAGCAAAGATTCCGAGTTTATCAATATGATTATATATTGATTGTTATATTTAATTAAGATAAGATACAGTAATTCGAATTTTATCTGATTTTGCCATATAACTGATGGTGTGAATCTCCCACCGCACTAGGTATCATGTCATAAGGTACAGAATCGGGTGGGCGCCGTTGGCTTCCAATGTTGTTTCTTCAGTTTGGTGGTTCATAATGTATTTTCATACTTCGGAATCCAATGACCATTTCTTCAAGCCACGGGATTGAAGAAATGAAACCCGCTGGCAAACAGCCCTGGAAGAAAAGTTTTCCGAACATAAGAACTTTAAAAATTGTGGGACAACGCACCTGGCCATTTCCAATTCAGAATACGTGAAACCTACAAGTACACGGAGTGCTCCATGAAGGATTGGCGGTTGCCTGTGAGATTGGATGAAGTAGGCATTACGAATACGAGAGCGCCCCTTCTTTCCTCGATACTCGTACGAGTACTTATCCTAACCACACATTTTCTGCCGAGAAATAAAGTATATCTTACGAGTACGAGTACGAGAGTCCCTTCCTTGTATCACTTCATATTGCAGGACCCACAATTTCTTACGGGAATTCGATTACGAGTTCAAGATATTGGAATTGAGCAAGATCCCTGGTGTACAGGCTTCTCGTAACGTGGGAAACCATAAACATTTGTGGGGCTCAATACCTTGGTAGAAAAGTGGTAATTAAATTCCGACGTGCTTGATCGTCATGATTTATGACTTATGGATATCTGGGTCAGTGATCTACCGTTTTGGATGGGTGTGCCAGATAGGGGGAGTTTTAGAACATAACCATTCTTTTGGCAAGGTGAACGAGTACGAAATATCCAGCATGTATTGGCAAAATATAAATATCAAGGCCTGGCTTGACTCATAATCGATCATAAGTTTTGAATCTGTGCAAAATGCGTCTGGCATTTTGGTCTCTTGTCATCGCTACGCTGAGTAGCGGTATTCACGCCTCTAATAGTGAACCTGACTGCAAGTGTGTAAGTAAAATTCTCTCCCTTATTACTGCCCTACCTGACCCCTTTTCTCTTGTGTGGCTGCTCATCTGTTGCAGGGGCCCTCTGATCCTTGCTGGCCGTCTTTGCAGGAGTGGGATGCACTCAACAAAACTGTTTCAGGGAGGTTGCTGAAAACCGTCCCTCCGGCCGTGGTCTGCTATAGATCCCGCGAAGAATACAACGTGGAGAAGTGCAAGAAAATCCTTAATGAGTGGACCACGGATACCTTCCACTCTGGTAATCCGTTCAGTGTTCATGACCCGACTTGGTCCTGGGACGCCTGTCCACCTCTCTACTCGGATGGAACTGGTATCAGCGGAGACCCTGATGCTGAATCCAAGGGCTGTTCTCTCGGTACACTCTCACCCTACGTCATAAATGCTACAACAGCAAAACACATTCAAAGCGCATTGAAGTTTGCCACCAAGAAAAATCTCCGCATCAATCTCAAGAACACTGGCCACAACCCGGAAAAGAGGTCAGTCCCATTAAAATCTCGTGATATTTGACAATTTATTGACATTCTATCAGTTCCGCCTATGGCAGCCTCGGGTGAATAATAATTTTTCCCTCTCTCTCGATTACTGAGCTAATCTGTGTAGGATCTGGACTCATAACATGAAAGATTTCAAGTTCCACAAGTCTTTCAAATCTTGTGCGAATGCTGAACGTCATATGGCTGGCACTGTTGGTGCTGGTTTCCAAGATGGTGAGCTTTTTGAGGCGATGAGCAAGCATGACGCTATCTCCGTCGGTGGAACCAATATGGTATCTATATCCATTCCTTCAAGTTATTTGTTGACTCTGGAGCTAACCTATTGAAAGGATGTGGGTGTTGCTGGTTGGTCCATGGCCGGTGGTCATGGATACGGCAGTGGTATCTATGGCATGGGAGCTGATAACATCATTGAAGCAGAGGTTGTCACTCCTCAGGGTGATTTGGTGAAGGTCAATGAATGCGAAAACCAAGATCTCTTTTGGGCGATTAGAGGAGGAGGTGGCAGTACCTTCGGTGTCATTATCAGCATGACAGTCAAGGCCTATCCTATGCCATCCGTTGCTGTTGTCACATTTGACGTTTCGCCCAAAAACGGAACTTCACCCAAGCAATGGTGGCATACAGTGGCACGTGTTCACCAAGAGATGGCCGACTTACAGGACTTGGGCTACGCCGGCTATTACACAATTACTGGCAACCCTATGCTCTGGCATAACACTGTCTTCGTTTACAATGCCACAGGTGCTGATGATGCAAGGAATAAAACCCTTCCACTGGAAAGCGCACTGAAGAAGGTTGATTCTTTTGTTGATACTGAGATATCTCAACTATATATGCCCAGTTGGTACCAGCTTATCCAAAAGCTGGGCTCGTTGACAGAGTCCACCGAGACGGGTAAAACACAAAGCATCCGTGCTTCAAGACTTATTACTCGGAAGGCTATTGAGGATGTCGATCTTTTTCCACGAACATTGGAGAATGTCGGCCCTAAGATATTTGAGCCTAAGGTACAACACGATCTGTGCAAAATGTCAGACACAAAGCTCGAGCTAACATTACAACCCCCTTTCAGACTGGTGTCACCCACCCTAAGCTTTCAGGAACAATGACGATTGGAAAGACGCCCGTGGAAAATGCCCTGAACCCGGTCTGGCGCGACACCGTTGTCCACCTTATCTCAGAGCAGAGGTGGAACGACACACTACCAAACGATATCGCCGAGAAAACAATTGATAGCATGGTCTGGGACAAAGGCTATGCTCTCCGTCAGTTGGCTCCTGACAGTGGTGCATACATCAATGAGGTGGGTCTCTGCCACTGACTCACATCGGTGATTTTCTCGAAATTACAGTAGCTGATTTGTCTGTGCAGGCGGACCCCTATGAGCCGAATTGGCAATGGTCGCTATTTGGACCCAACTACCATCGTCTTCTTTCTATCAAGGAGAAGTACGACCCGGACAGCCTATTCTGGTGCCGAAACTGTGTTGGTAGTGAGCAGTTCGCTCAGAAGAACAACGGTTCTCTATGCAGGGCTGTTTGAAAAGAAAATCTATCCAACCCTTTTGAGGCTACAGAGCAAGAAAGGCTCAAGAACCAGACTGTATTTGCTGCCTGAGGGAAAGAAACAGAGAGAGCGAGAGACCTTCCATCTCCAAGGCGGGTTACACATCCCGTCACATACAGTCGGACCGCAAACTAACGGCAGTCGGTTGAGGAATCACTGCCAAAACGACTCTGTTGATCTATACCTAGGTATTTTTGTCATTATTGGAAATTCCGCATGATTTATCATATGATAGAGGTAGACGGGTCATGATTCCCCAGGAAGGTGAAGAGGGTGGAATTTATATCATTTTTAGAACTTATACAAAAGAGAATTGATGATTCTCCAATCCAGTCGTTTCTCCGACCGTAAATATCAACATTTTCTTTAATCTAATTCAAAAACAAATGTACAACAGTAAGGGTTGGTGTTACTTAGGGCGCGCTCACGCGGTCGGCGGTCCTAGACTTCCGCACCGACCCCAAAAACCCGGACCCAACCCGGACCCAACCCCAGTTGGGTGGGGTTTTGGGTCCAAAGGTCTGACCCCATGTTGGGTTTGGGTTTATTGGGTCCAACCCCAATGGGTTTGGGGCCCCAAATGGGGTTACAAACAAGACAAACAGACCAAAATCCTTAGATGCATAACTTATACATATTTTAGCTGTAAGTTTAGGTATTTGGATTACTCTCACTTTCGCAAATCTAGAGATAATTCAATAGGTAGGAACAATATATTACTATTATCAAGCTTTATTTATATTAATACTACTAATAATACTCAAACAGATTATCCTCCCTGCTTTTTTGTTTTCGTCCTAATATCTTGATTTATATTGTAGTCTATAGAAGACTTAGTTTAGGCTTTCTATTCTGTTTATTAATATCTAGAATTAATTTAATTAAATCCTTATAGTTAATCTTATAATTTATTTTTTTTGTATTACTAATTAGAAGAATCTTAATTAAATTAAGTTTTTTATCTTTTTCTTTTTTAATAGTCTCTATCTTATTCTGAAAGAAGAATTCTTTTAAAATCTTAGCTTTTTGTTTTTCTATATTAAATCTAGATATATAAAGAAATATTATTAAGTTTTCTATTACTTCTAATTTTAATCTTTTATAATAATAGTAGTAAATATTTTAAACTATATTAAATAATCGTTTAATTTTTATATTAGTTGTTAGAAATAAAAGTATATTATATATAAGAATAATAATGATTGGAAAATAAGATTAATATTTTTTCTAAAAAATAAATAGATTTATTGAAATAGTATTTATATTGTTAGCAAATATAAAAAGAAATATAGGATTTATTATATATTATTATTTAAATATTAATTTATTTTATTATTAATTAATATAACTAAGATATCTTTACTTAGATTAAATTTATTAAGTATAGATTTAAATATTAATAGTAATTTAATAAAAGTTCTGAAAGTTTTAATTTAAGATAGATCTTTAAATTAAATTTAGTATAAAGTAAAGGTTTTATAAAAAGAAGATTAATAAATGTTTTATTAGTAATTATTCTAGTTATTAGTATGAAAGAATTTGAATTTATTTATAGATATAAATATAGTATTAATAGTATATATATATTTTTGGATATTATTAGTTTAGAAGTAATATTTATTAAACTTAGACCTTAACAAAGCCTGCCATGGGTATCACTTTCATACCCATGCCCAGCCTATGGGTCCAGTTTTGAAACCCGGCCTATGGGCTGGGTAGCCTATAGGCCGGGTGGTGGGTTCTTAGCAAACTTATACTACCCATAAACTGATATAAATTACCTAAAAAGGAAAGTCTTAGTATATATAACTAAATGACTATTTACAATTAATTATCGTTAGTTATCTATATAATCTTTATATATATTTGACTATATTTACTCTTAGGATAATCAAATATATAACTAAATTTATATTTATAATAAATGTATAACTTCAGACGTATGATTTATTAACTTAGCAGAAGATCTAAAAGTAGAACTCTATAGATCTACAAACAATTCAAATAATATTTAGTAGTAAATAAAAGTTGATTCTTAATGTCAGTTATATAACTAACAATTACATAGTTACCCTTTGCAAAGGAGAATATTATTTTATTTACATCATCAGCTATATAGAAGAACTCTATAATAGAAGGTATATATATACTTTTATTGGCTGTAGATGTTACTATTAGCTATAGTAGAAGATCGAAGAGCTTTTTCTATATAGTTTTATTAAAAAGCTAGCGACTAGAGACTGCAAGGGTAATATAGAGATTATTTTAGAATAGATAGTAAAGATAAATAGTATTAATAGTAAACAAACTTTATCAAACTTTTCAAAAATCTAATAAATATAAAAAATAAAAAAAGAATATCTATTCTTTATTTACTAAATAAAAGTTGAATTTTTTTAACTTCAGTTTTGAACGATTTGATACGTTTCAATCTTTTGATTTAAGATTTTTCTTTATCTTTAACAATTATTTGAAGATTTATTTTTATTAGTAATGCTTTTTTATATTATATAGTATATAAATAGAATTATTAATAGTTATTCTATAGTATTACTAACATTTCGAAATCCTCTTAAAATGACCACTTCTGCTTCTTGTATAGTTTCTATAACTTTAGTTTGCTACTAGTATATACTTTGCTTTCAGCATTCAATTTAAGTACTTTTTACTACTGTAATATTATTTATTATTAGTTATTAATTAACTATATAAAGTTCTATTCTATATAGTTGTTGCTATGTCTTTAAAAGTTTGTGTGTAGAACTAAAGACTACAATAATAGAAGATGTTTAGGATTTAAATTCTTTTATTCAATAAATATTAATATTCTAAACCTTTTGACTAAATTATATTATAGATTAGTTCTATTCTATATAGGATACTATATACTTTATAGCTTTTAATATAGTATTACAATAATTAGCTATAGTATTTAATAGTATATATATAAAATATATAGCTATATTTAAAATTAGGAATATTAGAAATAAATATATAAATATTATTTTTTGATTTAGAAATATTTTTTATATTAATCTTAAGCGATTTAATAATTTAACAAATCTAAATATTAAGATTTTATATATATACACTATTAATTAATAATTAATCTTATGTTCAGGCTTTATAATAATACTCCAACAACCGACTAAAATAAATATAATAATAAAGATACTTTACAATTACGCTTTAGAAATCTTAGGTTTATTCACTGAATACAAATAAAATACAACTTCTATGCAATAGTAATAACTACAGTTAATATCTATTATAAATATATATTTATTGTTTTTAGTATTGTTAGGAATATTATTACACTTGTGACGACTGGTAGTATTACTAATTTTTATAAGATTTTAATAAATAAGTTTAATATAGATTTTTTTATAAATAAATTAGATTTATAATTTAAAAACAATTTGTAGATATTTCTATTATTATAAGTATATTTTTTATAAATAAGGATTTAGAAGTACTATTAACTATTATAAAGTTTTTATAAATAAATTTAATATAGAATTCTTTATAAATAAATTAGATTTATAATTTAAAAATGACTTGTAAATATTTTTATTATTATTAGTATACTTTTCATAAGTAAAGATTTAAAAAAATAAAGAATATAAATAAATTTTAAAGTTAAAATAATTTTGAAGTAAGGATTCATATAATAGTGAATTTTAGTAAATATAACTTTACCTTTTTACTTTTTAACTTCTTTACTTCTATTTCTTTCTCTAATTCTTTTTCTTTTTTATTTCTTTTATAGAACTCTTTTTTATATATAATATAGATTATCTATTAAAAGGTTTTGAATTATTATATATCTATTTTGTTAATATATACTAGGACTATTTAAAATGTTTTCTTACTTTATAGATATCTAATAATCTTAATATTTCTTTAAAATTTCGTTATATATAAATTCAAGATATTATTATGAATTATTAAAATTATATAAAAATAGATTATTTCTATAAAAAGGTATATTTTACTTTGTTTTATAGGTTTTTCATAATTAATTTCCTAGTTTTCTACTTTCTTTGTAGGTTATTAGTTAGAATTATAAACTATTATATATTAGTTAGTAGAATTCTAGTAATTGCCTAACAATATTTTACTTAATAATCGATTTTAAAGAATACTTATAAAGAATTTTTAGTATCTATTTAATAACCTAGACTAATTTACTATAGTATATTTAGCTTGCTATTGCTCTGATGTAATATAGACTGTAAGTAATTTGTTTTTATATTTTTATAAATCGATTAACCTCTGTAATACAACAAATATATTAGATACTAATAGCTTATTAATTCTTATTAACAAATACTTCTAATATATTTCTTCTATAATTTTTGAACATAGATAGCATATACTACTAATATATAACCTAATCTTTTAGATATAAAAGAGGATATTTAGTTTTAGTACAAAACTATTAGCAATTTCTAGAATATGATTTTATAATGAGTAGAAAAGGTATTAAGTATATTAGAGATAAATAATATAAAAATATAGTTCAGAAAATATTTGATAAGATTTCCTTTTATTGTTTGTAGGAGTATAGTAGACTAGTTAAAAAAAAGGAGTTATTTTATAAATTAAATATTTTCGATATTTTTATAGTCTAACAAATTAAAATTTTATTTTTATTTTATATGGTTTTCTATAATTTCGTTTTGTAGTTTATAATTAGTGAGATTTTCTATTTTAAAATTAATATTCTTATAGTATTAATTATAGTCCTTAATCTAAGAGTTGGTTATAATTTTTTATTTTTCTACTATCGATTTTTATAGGGTTTATAACTTTTCATTAGTATTTAGTCTAAAAGTTAATCATAATTTTTCATTTTTCTGTTATTAATTTTTATAGGGTTTATAGTTTTTCGTAGTACTTAGAATAATTTACTAATTAGAGAAATCCTTTGTCTGAATTTAGAAATTAAGGTTATATATAAAATATACTTAGAA